TGTCCGTGGCCGCCGGGCTGTTGGCCTGCGGCGGGGCCAGCGAGTACGACTATGTCAGCTACCAGTCCGACCTGGGCCCCTACCCCGGCGGGCGCTTCTACGCCAAGCCCCACCAGTGCGTGGCCATCCCCGCCGACCTGCGGCTCTGCCACAGCGTGGGCTACGACAAGATGGTGCTGCCCAACCTGCTGGACCACGAGACCATGGCCGAGGTGAAGCACCAGGCGAGCAGCTGGGTGCCGCTGCTCAACAAGAACTGCCACATGGGTACCCAGGTCTTCCTCTGCTCCCTCTTTGCCCCCGTCTGCCTGGACCGGCCGGTCTACCCCTGCCGCTGGCTCTGCGAGGCCGTCCGTGACTCCTGCGAGCCCGTCATGCAGTTCTTTGGCTTCTTCTGGCCAGAGATGCTCAAGTGTGACCAGTTTCCCCAGGATGACGTCTGCATTGCCATGACGACTCCCAATGCCACCGAGGTCTCCAGGCCCAAAGGTAAGGCACAGGCACGGCTGGTGCTGCAGCCTCGCTCCTGGCGCTGCTGTCTGAGCTGACAGAGCAGCTGTGAGCCCAGGAGGGGCTGCGTGGGACCTAAGGGGGTCTTGCGGCAAGAGGAGGCTCCCCTGAACTCTGCTCCTTGGCAGCAGCCCTCCTCCAGCCTCCGGGCACTCACGGCACACTCCTGTCCCAGGGAAGGCAGGATGCCCTGCCAGCTGCTCATCCCTGTCCCGGAGCCAAGCCTGGGAACAGGCTGTTTGGGGCATGGCAGTCCTGGGACAAGAGACGGGGCAGTGATGTCCAGCCCTGCCCTCGGGTGGGCTGTGGGCTGGAGCGGGGGCAGGAGACCTGCCGAGAAATGACCAGGGAAAGTGGACGAGGTTCGTGTTTGTTCCCGTTGCGTGCGGCACGTTTCTGTGGTGCCAGACTGGCTTGTTTGTTTGAGTTGCAGCGAGTCTGGCTTGTTGCTGGAAACTTTACAATAAATAAATATCCTGATGTCACTTTGGCATTCGCTGTCGGAAACCGGGAGAGGCTGGAAGGAGGGGTGTTTGTAGAGGGAGATGGCAGAGGGCTCTGAGAGAGCGCAGGGCTTTTTGGGGAGCAGAGCCTCATTGGAGGGGATTGGCACTGCTGGGATAGTGATGGGCACTCCCAATTCCACGGGGGATAGTACCGGGAGGAGCTGGGGGTAGGGGATAGGGAGCTTAACTGTTGCTGTGGTTTCTGCACTGTGTCCAAAGCTTCTCTGGAGGGCCAGCTGCCCTTTGCAGTTACCTGCACAGACAAAGGCTGTGTGTAGTGCTGGGCTGGCAGCCCTCACCCAGCCGGCAGGGACCGTGCAGGGTCATCCTGCCCATCCTGGAGAGACTTACACTTCAGGGAGCCCTTCCAATACAGGCAGAAAGGGGTGTCCTGCAGCAGAGGGGTCCCCAGGAGCCTTGTGGGGGCACATGGAGGGCAGTGAGAGCAGTGAGCATTGAGGCAGTGGCTGTGGGCTGGCAGGCATGGGGGACACCCAAGCTCGGCACCCAGAGGAGCTCCGTGTCACGTCTCACAGTGGCATCCAGAGCCAGGTGGAGTGTGAAGCCTGTGCTTGTGCCAGGGGCTGAGCTCTGGCTGCTCTCATTCCCAGCCTCTCCTGACACTGATGGCAGTACAGCCACACTGGCCTGCCCTTGCTGGTGTGATTGCTGGAGGAAGCTCTTTGTTTTCCAGGAGGGCTCTAAAATAATATGTCCTGTGTGAACCTGGACCCTTGGTCAAGACCGCAGCCGTGTCTTGTGTTGCAGGTACAAAGGTTGCTTTTATTCCCCAGGGACTTGCAGCCAAGCATGCTCCCAGGGCAACTGGATCTGAGCTGCCCCTTCCAAGGTCCGAAATAGAGTCTGAGCTGTTTGCAAGTCGTTCATTTTACAGACAATGAGCCAGGACCTGGGAACAGTCTTCTAGATGAGCAGCATCTGCCAAGTTCTCCCATGCGTAGTTTTAACAACTTTCTGATCACCTTTCAGACCTGTCTTGGCAGCAGCACTGGGGTGGGACACTGCTGCTTTCTTTTGGTGCCCCAGAGAGCTCAGGGTGAGCAGAGCAGACTCCAAGTTAACTCCAGCCACTGCTGTGTTTTGAGCCAGCCCTGCCGGGTCTCCCACACGCCGCAGAGGATCCAGACCCGTCACCTTGGCTCTGGCACTGCCACCTCCTGCAGATGCAGAGTCCTCCTGGGCGAGCTGCAGCTCAGCCCTTGTCCCTGTGCTGGTTGGGTCCTTCCCTCTGTCTGGGCTCTCCCTGTTTGTCTGTGTTTTCCGCCAGTGCCAGCTCCTGGAGCCCCTTTGCTTTTGGGCACTGGGGTGTTTCCTGTTGATTCAAAGAGGGTCAGAACCCAGCAGTGTCCCCCCTTTTCTCTCGGCACTAATAAGAACGAGTCCTTTCAGTATTTTTCCCCATTAACACCTTGAAATTGGAATTTGTTTCTGCCTCTCAAAGAGCTGACCTGTTGAATTCCTTTCTCCTTAAGCACAGGCGGTAAAGCCTGCAGGCCCACGGGATGCATCAGGGGAGTTGCAGATTAATACAGCATTACACATTCCTTCTCCTGCCCCTGGAGTAAGCTGGCTCTGCAGCCAGGCGTTGGAAAATGGTCAGCAGGGAACAAGCGAGCTGGAAGCAGGCTGAGGTTGTGCTTGGAGTGGAGCCGTGAGCTGCAGCAGACAGGCCCCAGCTGACCTGCACTGGGCCAGGAGGGTGGGCTGGAGACCTCGGCCACGGGGCCTCAGGGGGGCTGGGAGGGCAGGTGGTTTTGGGGGAGCTGTGGCTTTACAGAACAGCAGTTTTCTCGGGGTACAGAGCTGTGCCAGAGCTGGCCAGGCCCCCGTCATTTGTGGTCCTGACCGTGGGGTGATGTGGTGTCCCAGAGCAGGGGACAATTTCCCTCCCTGTCGGCGTGGGACAGTGTCCCCTGCACGTCTGTGCTGTGACAGGGCTGCAGGAGGCAGGGCTGGAGGATGGGGCGATGTAGATTGGATAAAAGGAAGTTTTTTTGCAGTGAGGGTGGTAGAACACTGGCACAGGTTACCCAGATATGGCAGGTACCCCCCCTTGTTCCCCAGCACAGTGATGAACTCCTGGCTCTGCAGCAGATGGGGCTGTCACCCTCCTGTGAGCACCCTCTGAACCTTGTCATGAGCTCATTAAATGTGTGAAGCAAATATTCTGACTGCTGATTTTAAAAATAAAGTGTTGGGGATGTCATCGTGTCCCCAGAGGTTGGCCTCTGCCTGTGTCACTCTGAGTTAAGATGGTAATAGTGGCAATTGCACATTAGGGTTTTGGAAGAGGAGGTTACCCAGGTGATGGGCAGATCCCACAGGTACAGAGGTGCCAAAGTGGGGCTGTGGAGTTGCCTGTTGCTGCTGTGGAGGCTGACTTGTGACTGGCACAGAGGGGCGAGTGGAAGGCCAGTTGCTCTGCATGTGTGATTAATAAAGTCGTGGTGCACGTCCCCAGGAATTGGCGTTTGGCACAGAACAGATTTAGGGGTGGAGAGAGGGGAGGAACAAGCCACAGAAAACAAATGTCTCGCCTGAACCCCCGTGGGGCTCCTGTGGCTGAGCAGACATGACTCTGTGGTTGTGGCCGTGCCCCCCTCGCCAGGCTCTGCCCTCTCTGGTTTTCCAGCCCAGCACTGCTGTGGGTTTGCTGGCCTGGCTGAGGGCTGGGAGGCCGCTGATCCGCACGCAGGGACCGGCAGATGTTTTGCTGCAGCCTTGTCCCCGAGAGTAACTCCCTTGTGTGGGAAGAGCCTCCATCCTGCTGGACCAGGAACAAGCAGCATCTCCCGGCCCCATAAATTCATCTGCCAGTAGCGCAAATGTGCGTCTGTGCTGCTGGGTGGTCCCTGCTCTGGCTGCAGACGGGAACCTGGAAACAGATTCTTATTCTCTGGGTGCAGTGAGCTTTCCTCCCAGGACAGAGCCCAGTGGAACCTCCTGGGCTGGCGTTTCCCAAGGGGCAGATGCTGGTCCCTGCCCGGGGCTGTGAGCAGAGCCAGCTCTGCTCCTCTGCGGCCGTGAGGCTGCGCTGGGCTCAAAACAAAGCAGCAAAGGAGCCCCTGCTCTGGGACAGGGTGGGAGGGAGGGCAGTGAGGGGCTTGCCAAGCGCTGCCTGGGCAGCCTGCAGGGTGGTCCCCAGCACCCAGGGGAACACTGTGCTGAGCTGGGCTGTCCCAGTCCTGAACCCCCCTGCCTGGCACCGGGGTGGCCCCTTGGTGTGTGAGCTCTGAGCCATCCCTGGGCACCGTCCTCCTGCTGTGCTGGGGTTGGGGCACCGTGTGCTCACCTGGGCATGCCGTGGGCAAGGAATGTCAGCAGGCTGTGGGCCAGGCTCCCCTCAGCTGAGTGCCCGGTCCTGAGAACTGTTCTCCCTGCCAGGGCTGTCCTCTTGCTGTTGGCAGCTGCCTGCCCCTGCCTGTGTCTGGCCTTGGGGCCACTGGCAGCGTTGGAGTGGGGTTGGCAGGAGGCTGCCCGTGGCCAGCGCTGCCCTGTGAGCTGGTGGAGGGCTCCTGGCCCCGGGCAGGGTGTTGTCCTGCAGAGCTGGGAGCTGGGAGCCTGGGCAGGGTGCCTGGGCACGTGCCCCCTCGAGGGCAGTGGTCTGGCAGCGCGGGCAGCCTGGCTCCGTGGTGCTGCTCCAGCTGGCTTTTCACTGCCTCTCTCTTCACTCCTCTTCTCCTGCCAGGAACGACCGTGTGTCCCCCCTGCGACAACGAGATGAAGTCCGAGGCCATCGTGGAGCACCTGTGTGCCAGCGAGTTCGGTGAGGAGGGGCACGGGGGGGTTCCCAGGTGGGCAGGGCCAGCGCGGCTCCTGGATGGGGACCACCGAGTTCCCCTGCCCGGGCCGGTGGCCGTGTGGCCACGGTCTGTCCCCGAGGCCAGCAGCCTGTGCCTCTAGATGTCAGTGTGGGTGCGTGCAGGAGGCTGGGCTGGGCTGGGTGTGCGGGATGTGCGGGATGTGTGCGGGGTGTGCCCACTCCCGCTGCCGAGCTCTGGGGGGCAGGGACGGCAGGACAGGTCCCGAGGCAGTGCCCGCACACCGCCCGGCCCAGGGGCAGTGCTGGGCGTCCCTCCTGCTCATCCTGGGGAAATGTGGGGCCTGGGGTCACCTGCCAAAGCAGCCGTGCTGCCGCAGGGACCCAGAGCAGGGGGCCTTGGGCTGGGGCTGGGGCAGAAGTGGCAGTGCCGGTTCTTTGGAGAGCTCAGGGGGGTTTGTAACTTAACCCTGGTGTTCCCAAGCTTTTGTGTGCTTGCAGGAATAATGCATAGCACGGACCCTTATTCCTCCTTCATAGGAGGAAACCAGCCTCCTTTTCCCCCAGATTGCTTGTGCTGCTCTTATTTCTTTATAGCAAAGTTATGCTGCTCTTGTCAAATCTAGGCGTAAAACCCCAAAGCCAGTCCTTGTCTGGCTAGGGCCAAGCTGTGAGCTTAAAAATGCAGAGCTACTTGAAAGCTGTGTCCTAAATATATTGTGAGTGAGTGAGTGAGTCAGACAATCAGAGGTAAACTGAACTTCATTTTAAAAAAAAGATTATCACAGGCAAAAATATTAACTTTCTGAGATCAAGCCCAGAATTAACTGGTTTTGACATCCTTGCTGGTGTGTGTAACTTTCCCGGCAGGTTATTAAAGGCATATTGAACAAGGTGTGCATTCCTGGGGGATTAACACTCCAGTGTGCCCTGTGCCAGAGTGTGCTGTGCAAACCCAAACCTGCTCTGCATTGCTGGCCTGTTCCCCTTTCTGCTGGAAATGAATTCTCCACTCTCCTGCAGGTTTGGTATGCCAGAAGTCCTGAGTTCAGCTCAGGCTTCTTCTGAGAGGGAAAAGCATCAACAGGAACACCCATGTCATAGTTTCCCAGGAATGTGCATGCTTCTGGTTGGTGGGGGAATGGGAGCAGGCACTCAGTGCTCAGCCTGGCTGGGCAGCAGGAGATGCTGGGTGCTCGGAGCTGGGTGAACAGGGGTGCTCAGAGCTCTGCCAGGGTGCTCAGAGCTGGGTGAACAGGGGTGCTCAGAGCTCTGCCCTGGACAGGCACGGGATGGGAGCAGAGGTGTGTGAAGAGTGAGCTGAGGTGGCATCCTGCTGGTGGGCACGTGCCAGGAAGGCACATAACAAGTTTAACCACGTGCTCGTCGTCAGCTTCTGCTGCTAAATATCCTCCCCTGCTCTGGGACAGTTCCACAACGGGGAGCAGAGGCCAAACCAGAGGAATTCGTGGCCTCGGGACAGTGACTTGCCCACAGTGTAAGTTGTTATTGGGAAACACTGTGGTGACAGTGTCCAGAGGGTGCAAATATTCCTTGGCAGATGTGGCCAGTCTGTAGCCAGCTGGGAGCAGGAGCAAGGGCTGGGATGCAATGCAGGTCCTACCTGTGTCCTCTGAGGGAAGGCAGCACGAGGGCTCTGGGGGATGTCTCAGGAGACATTGGCTTCAGGAAGTTTCCCCAAAGCACAGTGCGTGGCCCTTGGATCTTTGTTTAGTCTTGGGGCTTTACTGTCGTGGGGTGATTTCTCAAGGAGAGCTGTTTATCTGGCCCTAAAATAAACTCCCGACCCTTCAGACTGAGGTTCCTCGTGCACATCCACCAAGGTAAACACTGGCAGCTGACAGGTTACAGATCCTCATCAAAGCCAGACATGTACAATAAATGTTTAAACTAACATGTGCTGCATGGGGCAGCTGTTGGTGGGTTCTGCACCGATTCCCACCCTAATTGTTACTGGAGCTTTCTCTTACATCCCAGGAGCTCCTTACAGACAAGAGGTGAGGAGCACTTTGCCCACCACAGACACGTGGCTGTGCCAGGGGAGGAGGTGGCTGCGTAGCAGCCCTGGGAGTGATCTTGAGGACAGGGCAGGAAGAGGGCTGCAGCCAGCTGGGAACACAGGAAGACTGTAAAGAAAAGGCAGGAGAGGGTGCTGGGGCTCAGAGGGGTGCCAGGGGACTCGTGGTCCAGCAGAACTCTGGGTTTGCCTTCCTTTGAGCAGTGGTGAATGTGGGCTCTGGGTGCTGGTTTGAGGTGGCTCAGCAGCTCCCCCAAGAGCAGGACAGGTCCCGGTGGGGTGTCAGCGAGGGGTGCCAGGCCCTGGCCTGGGCACAGAGCCGTGCAGGGGGCCGGGGCAGGTCCCTGGGTGTCACTGCAGTGTAGGTTTTGGTGCAGTGCTGGTGTGCTGGGGCAGCAATGGATGCAAGAGGAAGCGTGAGATCGGCCTCCCGTGCCCCCACTGCCACCTCCCCCGGCTGCCCTGGGCTGCAGCCAGCGCTTGTTTCTTACTCCTGGAGTTCATTCCATGCTCTGTTTCTCTTAGTGATTTTATTTATTGTTTCTGCCCTTTCTCTGGGGTCTGAGGGGATCCTGCTGAACGGGCTCTGTGGCACTGGGGACTGCAGAACAATCAATACACGCTGTTTATTTTCTCCCGGTGACTGACAGCTCCTTGCCTGCAGTCTTCTCCTGTTACAGCCCTAATGTGTCTTCTGGCAGGTTTCCTCCTTCTCAGTGATTTCTAAAGGAAGGAGAAATGAGGCTGAAGGAACAGTGGAGCTTTCCCTTCTCTCACATTTCCTTCCCTGCCCATGAGGTGCTGGAGTGGGGCCCGTGCAGGCAGGAGAGCACCAGGGGCAGGGTCCTGGTGAGAGGCTCCTGTGCCATGTGGGGCAGTGGGTGCTGCAGCCGATGCCAGGGCAGCCCGTGCAGCTGCTGGACTGGGAATGTGGCACGTGCTTGTGCTGTGGGCAGCCCTCTGGGTCTCTTCCTGGGGTCAGCTCCTGCCTGGCAGCCACGGCTGAGGATTTAGTGTGTCCAAGCAAACACATCCCGGGGTCTCCGCGGTGCTTCTGGCCCTTCTCCTGCTCGGCGCTGGGGCGGGTTTGGTGCAGCACGGGGGGAGCAGAAAGGCCAAGGCTCCCAGTGAGGAGCTGTTTGCTTTGGCAGCTCAGCTGGGGCCCGGAGCCAAGGCTGGATCCGTCCCGCTCCATCCGTCCTGCTCCAGCCTCTCGCCGCCGCAGGGGCGTTCCCGGGGCTGGGGAGGTGCCAGAGGAGCCTCCACGGCAGCGACTGCACCGGGGCCCCCCTGCCAGACCCTGGGCTTTAGGAAAGCCACGAGCCAGGGTCCCCTCCCTCTGCGGGATGGGGAGCTCTGGGAGTGGGATGTGCACTGGGAACGAATGACCTGGTGTGTGTGGGAACACGGCTTTGATACCTGGGAGCCTCACCTGGAACAGGGGTTGGAACTATGGGAACGTGGCCCAATTTGGGGAGCAGTGGGGGCCAGAGGGGCCGGGTCACTGAAGGGGGGTGAGGGCTGAGCAGAGGTGGTCGTGCTCTGTGATTGCTCAGCTTGCAGCACTGCAGAGAGCCTGGTGCTCCCTGAGCTGGGCTGTGCTCACCTGGGCAGCACTGCAGAGAGCCTGGTGCTCCCTGAGCTGGGCTGTGCTCACCTGGGCAGCACTGCAGGCTGTTGGTGACCAGGACATCACTGCTGGGAAGAGCAGAGTCCGACACAAACTATTTGCACCCCTGATCAGCCTCCTCCTTCATCCCCCTTGGCCTTCTCCCATCCTGGCTCTGTGCACTGCTCTGCACGAGCGAGGTTTGGACGAGGTTTTGGTTCACATCTGGATTTGTGGTTCCCCTGGGCAGCTCCCATGAACCTGCATCGCTGGCTCACGAGCAGCTGTGAGCTCCCACGGCACAGGATTACCAGGCCTCCTTTGTCTTCCCTGCTTGGAGCAGGACAGCTCCTGCAGCAGCTGCCAGGTCCTTTTCTTCCTCCAGCAGCAGGGATCGAGCCTTGCAGCCATCCCAGCAGAGCAGTCTGCAAACAAACCATTTCACAAAATCTCTTATTGTGCCACTGTGATGGTGTTTTACATCCCTCCTGTGCTTAGTGCAAGGGCTCCAGGTCAGCACAGATAAAGAAACTGAGGCTCTCACTGAGGGTGTTGCTGCTGCTGCCCAGTTATGTCGTGGAGTTTAGAGCTGCCTGAGAACTGCTCGCTTCAATTTCCAGATTTGTTGCAAACTGATCTGGTTCAGCATCTCCAGCTCCTTAAAGCTGGAACCTCTTTAGCTCCTTAAACATCCTGAATTTGGAAAACGGGTGGAATGAAAGTTTCGCTTGGGTTTCCAGTCCTGGATGAGTTCCCTGTGCAGTAACAGTGTAACCCCACAGGGCTCTTGGCAAACCCGGCGGGTGTTTTTGGCACAGGGACAGACAGACAGCAGTGCCCCTGTGCCAGGGCAGTGGATGGGAGCAGAGGGTGATGTCTGTGCTGCCTGCTCGGGGCTGTCAGCGCTGTCCTGCTGCCATCCCTTGCTGGAGGGGGGAGCAGCTCTGCCTTCCAGGAAGCAGCACGTGTTTGCTGCTGCATGTTCCAGCAGAGCAGGACTTCAAGGAACGGTGCTGAGGAGCCAGAGGCTCCTGTGGGCTGCCTGCACCCGCCCTCGGACTCAAATGAGAAGGGACAGCAGCCAATTAATCACCTCTCTGAGCACCAGTTATCTGCAGCTCTGAAGTAAACTCCCAAACCTTGGAAATGTGTTAGTAATTTTTGGCCATATGTGCTTTTCCCCAAAAAGGAGGCAAAGCCAAAATGGCTCAGACGTGATACTTTAATGTACAACACATTTTCATCATTTTTACCATGTATGCAAAATTCTTCTTCATGGTCAGGCAAAAGAACATAAATTTTTTTTTTTTTTGGGTTGGGATTAGCTCGGGAAAATGTTGAACCCAAAGAGGAGAGTATTTTCCATGGAAGTTGTATCAGACCAACTCCCCTTCTGGGGAGGGTGCAGGCACATGTCTGTTCTGGGCCCTTAGGCTGTGTGACTGGATCTCCCCAGCTCCATCCAGAGACTCCCAGTGCTTGGAAACTTGTTTCACAGGCACCTGAGGGCCGGTGCGACTGCAAACAAATGCTTGAGAAGCCAAATTGACCTTTTAAATGATCCTTTCAAGAATCTCTCCGTGCCTCCAGAGCAGGGAAATCACCCTGTTTACTCAGCTAACGTTTTTCTTGCGAGGAGTTCCCCGGCAGCTGAACAAGTCCCCTCTCAAGCAGAAAGCTCTGGGTGCTTTGCCGGGGGAAGGGGAACAGAGACATCAGTGTTTGACCTTGATGCTCTCCTGGGGGTGTGTGTGTGACACAGGGGCTGAGTGGGGTCAGGGGGGGATGCAGGAGATGAGCAGGGACAAAGGGGGTGCAGGAGTGGGGCACTGGATGTCTGCAGTGGGGCAGGGCACTGCTGCTGTCCCGGGGCCACGGTGCCAGTGCCCCCTCGCCCCCAGCCTCACTCAGCAAAGGCTTTGTGCCCGTGAAGGCTGCTCAGGAGTTGTGTTGTTTTTCCCCTCTCTCTGGCTTGTTTTGCAGCTCTGAAGATGACCATAAAGGAAGTGAAGAAGGAGAACGGGGACAAGGTGATCGTCCCGAGGAAGAGGAAGGCGCTGAAGTTGGGGCCCATCCGGAAGAAGAACCTGAAGAAGCTGGTGCTGTTCCTGAAAAACGGGGCAGACTGTCCCTGCCATCAGCTGGACAACCTCGGCCACTACTTCCTCATCATGGGCCGCCAGGTGAAGACCCAGTACCTGCTGACAGCCATCTACAAGTGGGACAAGAAGAACAAGGAGTTCAAGAAGTTCATGAAGAAGATGAAGTCCCCCGACTGCCCGACGTTCCCGTCCGTGTTCAAGTGATGCGGGAGAGCCGCTGCCCGGCCTGGGCTCGCCCCTCTGCAGCAGGGGTGCTGGAGCCAAGCCCTCCTGCTGCTCCACCCTGCTCCTCAGAGCTCCCTCAGTGACCCCAGCCCTCCCACACCCCGCTGGCCTGGGCGTGCCACGTGTGTGCCCCGAACAGTCGCTGGGGTCACACGCGGTGTCTGTCCAAAGACCTGTCACTCCACAGACATGTACAGCCATTGAAACAGCAGCTGTCAGGTAAAGAGGGCAAGCAGAGGGGTGTGAGGTGATGTCCAGAGGTTACACACTCGCAGAAAGGACCCTTGTGACCATGTCACTCCTGTCTTCATGGCTGCAGGATCGCCCTGAGTTCCCGTGTGAACCAGAGCCGGCTGATCAGACAGACATCCCATCCTCACATCCTGTTACAACCTCTGAGAAAACCTCCTAACTGCCCTCACTGTAAAAAAATCCTGTTATAGTCTAAAGGTGCTTTGCCTAAGCCTTAACCCCAGGTCCTTGTGGTGCCTTGCTGGGCTGGAGCCCTCCCTCACCAGCACCTCTCCAATGCCTCACCACGTGCCTGCCCTGGCCTCTGCCACACTGTGAGCCCCTCGTGCCCAACCTGTGCTGCTCCCTGGCAGCCCTGGAGCCCCTGGGCCGTGCCCTGCACTGGGTGCACTGGCCATGGGGGCAGAGGGGTCTCTGTGCCCCACCCGTGCCTTCAGTCCCCAGCACAGCAGGTCCCCTGAGCTGCCCTCGGCCTGGCGGGCAGTGCCCTGCAGGGGTGCCCAGAGCTGCCCCTCCATCTGAGCCCCCTCCAGGGCTGGGCTCCGGCTGGGGGGAGCTCAGGGGCAGCTCCTGCAGTTGTGTCACTCCCTCAGTTCCCCAGTGGTGTTTGGATGGTTCCCTCAGGCTGCTGGAGCAGTCCCAGAGTGCAGAGGCTGAGGACTCCCCCCAGAGAGCTGCAGGGAACTCTTGTCTCCGCCTTCCCCTCTTTGCTGTCCCTGTGGGACCCATCAGTCTGGGCTTTGTCTGTTTGATCTGTGACAACTTGGCTCTGTATCGCTCTACATTTTTTTTTCCCCTAATCAAAATGTTGTGTTTGTATGATTTCAAATAGTTTATGAAAGACAAAGAGTATCTCACCCGAATGATGGCATTTATTGACCAAACTGAAATGCATTATTCTGTTAATTGGACAAGTTCTCTTTTCCATGGACCCACATCGTTCCACATTCATTGTCCTTCCTGCTTCCATTCAGTATTCTCATCCATCACCAATACTCTAAGAGAATGAATATCTGAGAGCTGAGATAATCCTGCTGTATCATGGTTAAATGAAATAACAAATCCTCATTTTTGAGGTTTGAACCAAGCCCAGTCAAAGCTGGTAAATTAATTGTTCCTTAGCTCAGGAGTGCTGTTTATTCCCCATGTGGGAACAGAGCTGTGGACTTGGTTGTAGAAGAATTCCACGAAGAAGCCAAGCACTCTGAGGAATGATGTTTCACAGCTAACAGAGAGATGGATTTAGGACATGAACTTTGTAGAGAGTCCCACTAGGTTGTCTTAGACCACCATTTGTAGTAGTGTTGTTTCTTTATTGCAAAATTAATCATTGTAGATAATGTGCTTTTATCAGTGAAGAAATAAATAAACAAACCACAGGCTTTAACCTCACAGATTGATGAGGTGGGTGATGGAGAGGGCTGGCAAACCCAGCTGGGTGGGGAATGGAGTGAAAGGCTTCTTGTCTGTGAGTGCCCACAGTGGCAGCACCGTAAAAGCCTCGCAGGGAGCGGGGCAGGGACCCTCCATGTCCACTGGCTCCCCTTTCTGAGCACACAGAGCAGCAGAGGAGCTGCCCTGGGGGCTCTGGGCAGTCCCAGGGGGTTGGAGTGGGCTGCCCAGAGCAGTGGTGGAGTCACCATCCCTGGAAGTGTTCAGGAAATGACTGGATGTGGCACTTGGTGCCACTCTGGTTGATGTGTTCAGTCTGAGGTTGGACTCAATGACCTCGGAGGTCTCCTGCCCCAGTGATGCCAGGATTCCTTGCTGCCTGCCTGCAGCAGCTGGAGCTCGTTGCAGGGAGAGCAGGACCCTTCCTGCTGCTTTGACCAGTCCTGGCTGCAGCTCACAGGTTGTTTGAAGTGATTTTTTACCCACCTGAGGGTGAATGTGCTGCAGGCCCAGTTGGGTCCCTGGTGCAGGGGGAGGTTTGAGAGCTCGGGGGAAGCAACAAGTCCTTTCTGCAGCACATTTGGCCAGAGACATCAGCAGTGCTGACACCAGGAGAGAGGTAAGGCCAGTGCTGTGGGGCTGCTGCCTGGGGTCTCCTTTTCCCAGCTCAGGGCTGGTGCCTGGGGCAGTTGGGGCTCTGCTTTGTGCATTTCACTGCTGGGTGGTCTGTGATTGCTCGACAAAGTGTGAGCATCAGGTAGGTTTGAAGAGGTGCAGGAAGCCAGGCAGTGTTTGCTGAATATTTACCAACTCAGTTCCTTCTCTGACTTCTTGTAACTGACAACTCTGGAAGTATCTTCACGTCATGTAAACAGTGAGACTCACAGCCAAGTGCTGCATGTGGGGGCATTTGCTGTCTTTAGGTTTCCTGTGTTTCTCTCTGATAAGAAAAGTCTACTGAGACCTGAAATGGTCTAAGTGTAGACTGAGGAGAAAGCACCCGAGGTGCTGGGGTCGTGCTCATGCTGGATCATATGGAGCAAACAGACTTTGGCTGAAATGAGAAAGCATGAGAGGCTCCTTCAATCAGACACTGCCTGTCTGCTGGTTCAGCGTTCCCTGGAGCAGAGAGATGTGTGTTTGTGCAGTTTATGGGTACATTTTACATTTTAAAATGTCAGATGCTGGTTGTCATAATGAGTTCCAGTTTAAGTTACAAGCATTTGTGTAAATGCTCAGTTTAAGACGTGTGTCATGCTGGGAGACAACTTCAGTCCTGCCCTGCTGAGGGCTGTGGGGTGTCCAAGGGACAGGGACGTGCCACCTCTGGCCTGCTCAGGCTTGCTGTCTGCCTGGGCTTATCAGAAGTAAGAATCTTAAATCCTAAAGTAAAATATCATCCTCTTGTGACTCAATTTATCCTCCCAATAATGTTTATCTCCTTTGCTCCAGCATTCCTTCTGTCGAGTACCGCCCGTTAATTGAGTTTCTGGCCTCCAGTTGCAGTTCAGTTATAAACAAATACAGTTTTCTTTCCTGCTATACAAAAAGTCATCTCCCATCCCTCAATTAATTTTTGCCATTGCTGGCAGTCTGCGTTCTGCTTTGACCTCTGCTGGGGAAGAGCTGTTGAGCAACTGGGGAGGGCTGGTTCTCCTGGGGAGGGCAGGGAGTCAGCCCGGGGTCCTGCTCTGTGAATGACCAGGGGGTGACACACCCGGGCTGTGCCAGCCTGGAACGGGCTTGTCAGGGGCTCTTCAGCCAAACAGGCAGGGTCCTGCTTCCATCAGCTGTTCCACAAACAGGTAACCCAGGGCTGCAGTGACTGCAGCACAAGGAACTGAAAAATAACAGAAGCAGCAATAACAGAAGTGACAAAGTGCTTCCCTTGGCAGGCAGATGGAGCTGCTCTGACAGCAATCCCTGCTCTGTGCAGTGCCAGGGGAAGGGGGGACAGACGGACCCCCCGAGCCCCCCATGGCTGGAGATGGGCCCCCCAGTGAGGGGCTGCTCAGTGAACACCCAAGGCCTCAGCTGGAATGTTCTGCAGAGCCACAGCGAGACCCTCCTCCCTCCCACCCCAACACCAGTAGCACTGCAGGGAAAACGCTCCCCCGTGTTCCAGGGGCTGCTCCTGCTTTCTCACTGCCCCGTGCTGGATGACCCTGAAAAAGGACACACACACAGGCGTAATTAAAGCCACCCTCCAGCCCAGGGCCAGAGCTGTGGCTGGAAACCGCCGTTCCCTGGCGCGGAGGCTCCTTTTTCCATCCCAGCCCAGCTCCACAGGCCGTGGAGAACGGGCTCCCTCAGAGCCAGCAGGGAGAAACGTCTTCCAGTGTCTTCAGCAAGTGCTTTTGAAATCCCTGTTTTGCAGAGGAACAGACGTTTTTTCATTGCTGTTTCTTCCCCCGTAATCCCACCTGAGCCCCTGAGCGTGCTGCCTGTCGGATGAGCTGCTCCCTCTGGGCGCTCTGGAGGTGTCTGAGCCATGCTGGAATGTCCTCCTTGGAAGGGGAGCGGGGCAAGCTGGCGGCTCCTCTGCTCTTGGGAGCTTCTCGTGGCAGACAGGCCCACGAGCGGGGTCCAGGAGCTCTGCAGAGCCCTGCGGGAGGAAGCGCAGATCAACCTGCCAGGGTGGCCCCGTCTGCGCCACGGTGGCCTCGCAACCTTTGGAAAATGAGGGCTTTGTTTCAAGGGCTTCCCATCAGAGGCTGGAATCTCCTCTGGGGGGGCAGCCTGCCACAAGAATGCTGCCTGCATGGCGGGAGCGGGTCCGCCGTGCCCCTGCCCTTGGCGCGGGCTCTGCCAGTGCTGGGGGAGCCCTGGCCCCGTCTGCTCCTGGCACAGCAGAGTGATGGATCTGTCTCCACTCGCCAGGGCGAGGGCACGGGCACACTGCAGCACAGCGGGCTCCTCTCACAGCCTGCCAAGACCCCGAGAGCCACGGGCAGCCAGCATACAGTCCCTCCTTTCTGCAGGAGCGTGCTGGGATGGGGAGCTCGCTGCTGGCTGAGAAGATTTTCCTTCAGAGGCAACCAGGAGGTGTTTGCCAAGTGGAGAGTGAGAAGAGGGGAGCCAGGACAGGGCTGGCAGGAGCCGTACCTGGTACAGTCAGCACTGCAGGGTTTGGGGTCCAGCTCTCTGCTCCCACTCCTGAGGTGTGGGAGGAATGGCTCCGTGGGGCTGCCACCAAAGCTGTTCTGCTTTTTCTTTAGCTTGGGTTGGGGCAGGTTGGGCTGTTGGCAACCTCTGCTTCAGCACTTCGCTGCCTCAATCTTTCTTCAAACTCTTGAGTTATTAATGTGGCTGAGAGGTTAATTTACTGGGAGGTGTAATGTTGTATATGAATAAATTATGGCCCCAGAAGGATGGTGGAGAGGGAGTATCTCTGCTGTTACTTGGAAAGAAATGAGGAGATCAGGGCATTTGCCTTGGGCAGGCTACAAACACCTCTTGTGTGCTCAGAACTACATTAAACCCCCCGAATAACAAACTGCAGCCCCTTGAGGCAAATGTGACACCTTTAAATGGGTCCATCCTCACCTGGGGGTGATCACACCCAGCCCAGTCTGCCCAGCTCCTGCACAACAGGGGCAAATCCAGCTCTGGAGAGGGCTGGGCTGGGTGTGGGAGCTCCGAGGAGGTTCCACATGTGGTTGTGTGAGGCCACGTCCTTCTCCCGGGGCTGGTGTGACAGTGGTGGCCGTGGTGGCCTGGCCAAGCCCCCGGTGCTGCCACGTTCACGTTTGTGTGTCAAATGGTCTTTGACAAACATTTAGCCTGATATTAAGATTTTATTAAAGTCCCCCTCCTGGATTAGCTCTTGCTGAGACTTGAGGCATCACTGTGGGTGAGGATTAAACCCTGTCCTGCACAGCTGAGTCTTTGCAGCCCTGCCTGCTCCGCAGTGTTTGCAATTTCTTCACCATTTCATGATCTTTCCTCTCACTCGCCCCGAATGTTTATTTAATAATCCTGGAAGACCTTTTAAGCTTCCTGGGTTTAATGTTTGCTAAACACCCTGTCACTTCCACTTGTATTGATAATTCCCTGCCCTGTGCTTTGCCCCGCAGCCACGCCAGGGGACGGGACAGCTCCACACCAAC